CTGTCTTTACATTTATTTTGAAAGCTGAAGTTCGCGATTATGGTAAGGGGTGTTACATTTCTGACGAGTGCTTGCGGTGTTCGGCCAATCACAATGCACTGGGTCAGCTGGCCAATCAGAGCAGACTGCGCTTGTCGGAAGGAGGGACTTTGTAGAAAACGAAGCGTTTGAGAGAGGCGGGGCATAGAGGACCTACAATAATGTACAGTATTTGAAAAAAAATGTGTTTTTTGAACATTAAAGCATGTCAACATATTCGGTTACACCATATACACAAAATAATGATCTTTAAATAAGCATCATATGACCCCTTTAAGATTGCAGGTTTATTCTGACAGGAATTGTGATTTAAAATCACAATAAAGTGCCCACATTTTTTCAGGAGAACCTGATTGAGAAGTTGTATCAGAAGAATGCAGCACTCCTCGCATACAAGAAAAAGCTACAAATCCAGTTAAAACAACAAGAAGAGTTAGGTGAAGGGCTGACAGCTTTGGACTTTGAGCAGCTCAAGTTTGGGAACATGAAATGTAGGAAGCGACTGGATGAGCAAAACCTCAAACATATGGAACTCAAACTGCTTGCAGGGAAGACCTTGCATGTCTTGAATTCTGAGAAGGTGAGATGCTCAACCAATTATAAAGGGGTCTGCAAGCCTGACAGCTTAAGATATCAAATATGTGTTGAGCTACACACCACAGTAATAGGACAGGTCTTGTTAAGGGTCATTACTATAGGAAACCCTTGGCCTTGAGCGGTCAACCGAAAACTGGGGGCACTGCAAGTGTCTAGAGAATTTTTTCAATATCTCCGTCTTGCTGGAGAAGCTTCAGACCTTGACACATGAGTCAGATGTGCTGAGCAGTGACATTGCTTTACGAATGAAGATACTGGTTAAGATTGAGGAGGAGACTAAGCAAGCAGAGGAGGTCAGGATAATGAAATTACTTGTATGCACTTCAATAACCAACATGATGGCAGTAAATAACTAAATATTTACAATTTTAAAATTCTGGTAGTCTGTCAACCATTAAATAATACACAGACTAAAAGATATTTGTACTAGTTGGAGTGGTACTCCACTGCCCAAAAACCATAATATGGATTTTTTTTCCTGACAGGAACGAAACAAAGCAGAGGCTCTGAACAGGAAGTTGAGGGGCCAGTTGGCCGATTTTCATGTACCACATGTCCTACATCAAAGTTAAGGAGTCTCATGGCCAGCTGCAGAAGAGTGTTAAAGAATGGGAATGCAAGGTGGAGATTGCAGAGGTGAGGATTCACCTAAGGTTCGCTGCTGGAGCCAGACCAGTTCCTGCACGACATGCAGCCATAGATGCTGGATTGTATGTGTTCTGAAACAACAAGAACTACTATGTCCTAATTAACCTCAATGCCCAAGATGATGTCAAAGATACCCATACATTTAGCATCTTTTGCTAAATTTCATTGAAGCACAAATGCATCAATATAAACAATAAAAATGACACAATGCATTATTAATGAAAATGTTTATTAGTTAGTGCTGTGTATATTAAATGCTACATACAGATATGTCAGCATGAATGTCACATCAACCGCCACATGAAGTTTTCTTACTAGCTCATACACAATCTACAATTTGAAAAAAAGCTAAGGAGAACTATGTGCACTCGAAAGCGCACATACCTGGAACAGATTACAGGGATTAACACAGCAGGCATGCACGGGGTAGAGAGGTCTCAAAACCATAGAGGAAGGCCATCAATCTTAACGTTCCCCTGTGGT